ATAAACTTGATTTAGCTTCCATTGAGGAAACAAACATACCTCTGTTTTGGCTCCCCGGAGAGAACAAAACAAGGGTTAACAAGGTTGTTAAGTTGTTGAAGAATGGAGCAGGTTATATGGGCTTTTATTTTGGGGTTGGATTGAGGTATTTGTCCAGGTGGCACCTCCATCTCAGCAAAAAAAAGGCCACGTTAGACCCAGAGGAACGGCTGATGGGCGAACTGTTAAATGTTAACGGAAGCGTTAAGAGAGGGGCTGATTTGCCACTGTAGGTGAGTTGAGGGGTTGATTTGCGCGTGAAGTGTGTTGAGGGGGTGATTTGCCACCAGTTGTTGAGTTTAGGGGGTGATCTGCACCTTTTGCCATTTTGTATTATTTCAAATGGAAGGAAAAGAAAAAAGGATCTCATTGAACTCACTGGTTTTGGAGCTTCTAGTTTCATTTGAAGATCAACATGGAAGAAAGTGAATACAAGGTGATGCAATGGTGTCCAAACAACAGGGAGAGAAACTTTAATTTCATCATGGTAGCAGGCCACCCAAGCACCAACAGCAACTTGCATGTGAGCCCACTTCTGAAGTGACAAACCAGGTTCCCTTGGATACATTGCCTAGTCATATCAGTAACACAGAAAAAACAATAAGACGAGTTTAAAAATCATAGTGCAAAGTATCACTCAACAATTTTACCTCTGAAGGTTGTCTATAAACATCTGCATCATCCTTTCTTAGCTCAACTCTTACGAATAGATTCCTTTTCCAACTCAAGCTCACAGTTAAAGTGTAACACCCCACATACCTTAGTGAATAATTTAAAAATTAGTGTCCTTTAGTTTATAGTTTTAAGGATTAAATTGATTGAATTTAAAGTTTGGGAGTTTGAAGTAAAACTTAGTAGAAGTTGGGAGTTTTAAGTAAAACTTAGTAGAAGTTGAATGACCATAACTCAATTATTCCAATTTTGCTTACCACATGGCATTTTCCCAACCAAGTTTTTTGTCTTTGTCGGTGGAAGCTTGGATAAGCCTCCAGAAGGCTCCCAAAAGCCTCATTTTGTTTTCCTATGCCTTCCTCTTCCACCTCTATCCTTTTTTTCCTTTTTTCTCCAACCAAGGTTAAGGTGTTTTAGTTATGAGTCTTGGTTTAGAGTTTTGGGTAATTTAAATTGGTGAGATTTGACTTTAATCCTTTGGTTTATAAGATTTTTGGGTATTAAACTTTGATTAGAAATATCATTAATTTTGGGGCTTATATGGCAAAAATAGTGAGTTAGTCCTTTCTATTGTTTGATTTGGGTGTGATTTTTGCTGCAGGAATTAGAAGGAAATTGGATTGTTTACGAATCACTGTTCACAATTACTGTTCACGCATTATGCGTTGATCTCTTTCAATAGGAAGTCCTAATATTATTTTGGACATATTATGAATTTGTTTGACATGTGTATGTGTTTGTGGCTATAGAGTAAGTGGACCTAAGCTTAAAGCTTGGGGTATTCAGTAGACCCTTCGGGGTATTTAGTGGACCTCTGCGCAGTGGGGTTAGTACTGTGATTAGCTCCGATACAGTATTGCTAGCACACCTCAGTGGACTCCAAGTATTGTGTGATTTTCGATTTTATGCATTGCGCTTGTGACATCGTATTTGTGAGCATATGATTTTAGTATATGAATTCAATTCAAATGTCATTAATTATTACTTGACATTTGTGCTTATAATTTGATTCCGTTGTATCTTATGCTCTTTGTGTGGATAGGTCTAAAGGTCTTAGGACCCAAGTTTATAACTTAAACTTAT